TTGTGTGTGTGTGTGTGTGTGTGTGGGAGGGGAGGGAGGGTGTGTGTGTGTGTGTGTGTGTGTGTGTATGATTTAAGTTTAATTCTTTACCGCACAGCAATCTTTTGTCTTATTCATTATTTCAATCCTTAGGTTAAATTCCTAGGTATACTAGCAAGCAATAGACAGACAAGATAGATAGATGAAGTAAAAGATGAAGGTAGTAGAAGTTGAAGGTAATGATATGAGATCACCTGAAGATACTAGGACCGATACGATACACAAAGCGTAGCGTCACGCTGTACATCGTCGATGGGGAGGTGCGTGTGCCGCCACGTTGTCAAAATAAACGGCACTATCGCGATTTATCTCGTTTCCCATGATAATAAGAGATAAAACTGCATCCTTACATTAGCTAGTATATCAGCTAAAATGATAATTTCAGTCGTCGGATTCGCCAGAAGCGCGTAGGGCCGCTCCTATTCTCCTCCGCCGTGCCAGTCGATGGGTAAATCCCCGAGTAAATCTTTTGTGAATCCCCGAGGGATTTATGGGAACATGGACCGGTAAACGTACCCTTGACCTGAGGTATATTGCGTCGAAAATCGATTATCGTGAACAAGTGTAACCTAAGAAAAATGTAACGAGGAAGGTCGATCTAACTTCGTGCTTATTTCTTGTCTTGTTTAAAGGAAATTTTTCAAGTGTGATCTAACGTTAGTGAATAATAACCCAGAATAAATTTTCCATCTAGATTTTCATTTAATCTACTTGATGTATGATGGTAAAGTTTACAGATGTATGATCAAAGTGAGATAATTCACATGAGTATATACATAAAACGTGAATGAGTGTTCATTCTCACGAAAAGATGTAGAGCGTTATAACCTGCGGATGACAGAAATGAAATATGGTGTGTATTGAGAATATTACAGCGGTCTACCTGGAAAATAACACGCGATCATCTTTCTGACGCGGACATAATGAAAAAAAAAAATCCAGCAAAGAGGATTTACGTCATTAAACGAACACCTCGAGGCCATTTTCTTTATCAGCCGTATAAAAACCCCTTATCGTTGTACATGAAAAAAAGTACTGGTACGTGTAAGTACATGATTGGTGTATGCATGTGTACATGAGAATCCGTATCATTGAGAATCTACGTGAAAAGGATGTCTTATTTTCGCTCGTTGATATCGTGCGATTCAAAGAATACTGATATACTCGTACTTGCCGTGTGTCTTAAAATCACATCAAATATTTTTTTTAATTACAACTTTCCTGACTAGTACGAAGATAATTTAATATTTAATATTTAATGAAAATATCGAAACAACTCTCAGTTTTATTACTTTCCAACTTTAATTGTTGTTGCGTATCTTGATAGTTAAATAAATTACAAAGTTTTATAGTTTAAAAAGTAGATCTTTTTCGATAAAATATCGCGGAATTGGACAATTGTAATTTGAAGTAACATTTCAGGAATGTAGTTTAATTAATAGGTAGAGAGATTAATAGATAAAGAGATTTCTCAAGACGCAATATAGAAGATAGCGCTAAGTTCCCGGATCTTATTAATGAATACTAAGAAGCTAATAAAATTTTATTGCAATTTGTCATCAAGCTTCGTAATCAAGCATAGTGCACGTTCGTGCACCAAAATGGCGAGCATAGAAGTCCTTTATGGTGTGTGTTTAAATGACTCGACGGCAATGCCTCATGCTCGCAACGCGTGCAAAGATGAAGAAGGTTTTACGGCGCAATTACTGAAATTTACAACGAGACAGAACTGTCTCAATTTTAACGTCGACGGGATTAACATCGCGCTACGACCGCGTTGTGCAAACACAAGTTTCGTGCTCATTGTTTTCGTCGCAAATATAGTGCGCCCGTTCCCCGTGAAATGTTCAAAAATAGGCTTGAAGCTAAAGACAAAGATTTTTCAACCAAAAGATGAAATAGAATTGAGAAGATGATAGAATTTTAAAATTCGACTATTGTTTTTGGAAGAGAAAAGACGAGGCACATGGTGCTGTTTCTGTAGCATGACAACAACATCAAAACTTGATATTTCAATACTTGTATTTTGATCAACTCGAATGAAATATCATAGGACCGTGAAAATATTACTTACATTGGTAAAGATAACATTTGAAATTAGAGAACCACTTTTCTCCACCACGTTTTTCTCAAACCATACTTGATAATACTAGAATATTAGTCTTAGTGTTAATAATTCTATTTATAATATATCTTTTGCATATTGTGCATTCATTTCTCTTACAGTAATTCAAATTTACAATAGTCGAATACATTAAATTTATTTTTGATAAAAATATTTGCAATATTTTTTAGATTTATCTCCTACGAGTTGGCAGAGTTTTAATTTCGTGCTTAGTGATAGCTTTTTCAAGGCGTTCAACATTGTAAATTTAGAAAAAAATGTTAAAAAAACCATATAATTGGAGAAAAATTTTCATCAAAAGAATATTTTATACATGTAAATCTTCACATTTATCATAAAAAGATATTTTTCAAATATTTGTTTTCTTTTAATTACCATTGATCTTGATCAAAGATTTTCATATTATTTATTTAAAATGTCGAAAGATTCTTAATTTCCACTTTCGTTTTTGTTTCCTTGACATCTCGATGCAAAGTTTCTTTAAAATAAATAAATTTTGTCACTTTCGAATAAATCGCCGCGATAATTGAAGGAAGACATCGCCGCCGACGGTGTGGCGCAAAAAGTTGATCGCGATGCGAGGACCAATAATTAACGTGCACGACAAACAGTATTATCGTCATTGCCTGATATTATTCCCATTATCTTATATGTACGGCGGCTATGTGCTTAATGATTAATAAAATATTATCTGCGCTCAGGGGATATCTTTCTTCCTGGCGATGGATAGTTTCATACCAGACATCGCGAGGAGCACCGATGCCAATGTCGCGTGGTTCGTGAACTACGGGTGAAAATAAAATCAAAAATATATTAAACCAATATTATGTATTTTCGAAAATGGAGCATATCGCGAACGAACATCCGAGAAAGAAGATATGCGTAAAATAAAACAACTTAACAACTTAACAACTTAACAAACATTCTCGTAAGTATTCACAATCTGAAATTTAACGAAAGTGCAATTGGATGCAACGTCGATGGAGACATCTCTTTTGAACCTGCGATAACCGCAAGTGAAGGCAAGTGAAAAAGTTTGAACAATAAAGCAATAAGTGACAAGAAATAGCACAACTTTAATTAAATATGAGTAATGCTGGTATATAGAATTTTAAGGAATTTATAAAGAAGGTATCATGTGAACGTGCATCTTTATCTAAGAAAGTTCATCATTTCGTCAAAATCTTCCGTCGCGAACACGCGCCGTCAAAGTATTCTGAGTTATCGATTTAATATTTACATTATCGACAACGTTTTTGCAATCGAGCAATCTGGACATTGTCATTCGAGATGAGTCTCGCTTTTAAACCAGACGCGCGTGAATTAATTAAACATTAAAATAATTAATATGCCGAAGTGAGAGTGCTCAAAGGTCTGCAAATATTTTCGATCATGTTCGTATGTACTGGATACATTACGTATACTTTAATGAGTTCATACATGATTTTAACGATTTGTGATTCGGTAATGTCGCTCGTGCGAGTTTCGGACGCACATGTGACACATCTTTAAGTACAAGAACAGACGAATCGACAAGATGGTGGATCAAGACCTTGAAAAAAATAAGGAGAAGAAGAAGAACGAACTATTCCCGAAAGAGAGAGGAAAAGAAAGACGGATGAGTCGAGCCGGTAAGATGTGTCTAGATTTCAACGCATCGCAATGAGGAGGAGGAAGAAGCGGTCTGCGTACAAAACACAAGTGTCGAAGCGGGCCGAACATAAAACACAAGTGTTCCTTTCGTGTACGGCGTTGCTCGCGTTACCACGGATGTTCGCTTTCGTTTGCCAACTTCTTCTCGCGTGCGTTTCTCTCTCTCTCTCTCTCTCTCTCTCTT